CAGAAATTTCTCACCGCCAAAGTCAACCGCAGGAATTTCAGAAATTTCTCACCGCCAAAGACAGCAGCAGTGCACACGTTGAAGGGGATGTCCGAAACGTGAACTTTGCAGGTACTTTACTTAATTCTGTTTTTACTAGCATTAATTTTAATTGCAAGGATAATTGGATAATAGACACTGGCGCAACAGATCATATTACACCTCATCTCAGTTTTTACGATCATGTTATTAAACTCAATCCACCCACAACCATCCGACACCATTAGACTACCTGACAACTCTACCAGACAAGTTACTCACATTGGAAACATCAAACTGAATAATAGAATTACTCTGTACAATGTATTGTATGTTCCCTCTTTCAGCTGTAACCTCATCTCAGTCAACATACTCACCAAAACATGTCATCTGTCTGTGCACTCATTTCCTGACTATTGCTTATTCCAGGATTTACAGACTGAGGAATTACTGGCAGTGGGAAAAGTGTATGAAGAACTATACTACATGACAAAAGACTCTTTCATTCCAAATAAGAACCAAAACATGATAGCTCAATGTAATAGCCACAATAAACATCTGCACTTGGCCTTGCTTTGGCATGCCAGATTAGGACACGTTTCTTTTAAACGTTTGAAACATGTGGATGGAGTTGCTCATTGTGATTATACTGAATTGATGTGTTCTGTCTGTCCTGTTGCAAAGCAAACGCGATTATCTTTTCCTACCAGTGTTATTTCTTCTGTGCATGTGTTTGATTTGGTTCATATTGATTTGTGGGGGCCATATAAATTGAAGTCAATTACCAATGCAGTTTATATGTTAACCATCGTTGATGATTATAGCCGGTTTTGTTGGACTTATATGCTGAAAACCAAAGACCAGGTCTTGCTTGCTTTGAAATCTTTCTTTAATTATGTGCTCACTCATTATGACAAACGGGTAAAGGCTATTCGAACAGATAATGGAACAGAATTTGTGAATGCTGCATGTAGCACTTTTTTACAGGACCATGGCACTTTACACCAAAGGACTTGTGTTTATACTCCTCAGCAGAATGGCGTTGTTGAACGGAAGCATCGGACGCTTTTGAACATTGCTCGCACCTTGCTTTTTCAATCAAAATTTCCATCTATTTTCTGGTCTGAATTGTTGTTAGCTGCCACTCATATCGCCAATCGATTACCATCTGAAAATCTGGATTGGAAAACTCCTTATGAACGGCTGCATGGGAAACAGGTAAACTACAGCTATTTTCGCACCATTGGATGTCTTTGTTATGCTACCAACACTGTACCCCATAAACAGAAATTTGATCCTCGAGCTTTCCCTTGTGCTTTGTTGGGTTATGCTCAAAATCAAAAGGCTTATAAACTCTATTGTTTAACCACCAAGTCCATCCTTGTTTCCAGAGATGTTGTTTTCATGGAAAACATTTAGGCTTATAAACTCTATTGTTTAACCACCAAGTCCATCCTTGTTTCCAGAGATGTTGTTTTCATGGAAAACATTTTTCCTTTTCATCAAACCAATCCAACAGATGTAACCACTTTTGTACTACCCAAGTGTGCCGTTGATACTGATCCTACCTTTTTCGAATCTCAAATCACCAACACTCCACAACCTGAACCTACCCATGAGCCTACCTTACCGAACACTGAACCTCCAACCCCTTTTCTTACCGAACCTCCTACCCATTTCCCAAATTTACTTGTTTCCCCTGCTCGAAATGATGGAATTCCATGCGAGGTGGATGATGCTGCTATTTCCAAAAATATTGTTCCTTTACCAGAAGTTCGGCGTAGCACAAGAACCTGACGACCACCTGCTTGGCTTAATGAGTATGATACTGGTACCTCATCCACTTCCCAAATTAATTTTACCACATCCCATATGTTTTTTATTGCGCAGTTGTCTAAAATTAAAGATAAAAAATTAAAGAACCTTGCAATTATAATGAGCTAAACAAAACATGAAATTGGGTAAATGCCCATGAATAATGAACTAGCTTCATTGAACAGAATAACACTTTGGATATTGGACTGATTGCCCCTAATGACTAAACCAGTTGGTTGAAGTGGGTGTACAGGATTAAATATAAATGCCAGATGGCAGCATTGATCGCTATCAGCATTGATCGCTATAAGGCTCGGCTTGTTGCCAAGGGATATAACCAGTTGCTTGGCTTGGATTATCTTCATACTTTTTCTCCAGTTGCAAAATTAGTTACTGTTCGTGTTTTCTTGACTATAGCAGTCGCCAACTCTTGGAGTGTTCAGCACCTGGATATCAATAATGCCTACTTACACGGTACTATTGATGAAGATATTTATATGCAGATTCCTCCTGGTTATGACAAAGCTGCAGAGGGACAGGTTTGCAAGTTGCAGAGATCTCTTTACGGGTTAAAGCAAGCCGGTAGACAGTGGAATAAAGCATTGACAACTTCTTTATTGAGCCAGGGCTTCACACAATCTTCGTTTGATCATTGTTTATTTACTAAAGGCTGCGGTGCTTCTTTTATTGCTCTCTTAGTTTATGTGGATGATTGCTTAATTACCAGCCCATCTGTCACATTAATTTCACAATTGAAGACTTATTTAGATCAGAAATTCACCATAAAAAATCTTGGGGATGTGAAGTATTTTTTGGGCATTGAGGTAGCAAGGGCAGATGATGGTATGTTTTTGACTCAACATAAATTTATCTCTGAAATTATTCAAGACACTGGTCTTCAAGATGCAAAAATTGCACACAGTCCTTATATTCAAGGCATGAAGCTTGGCACAGATATGGGGCATCCGTTGCCGGATCCAGGCAGTTACAGACGTCTTGTTGGCCGCTTACTATATCTGTCCATGACTCGCCCAGATATTAGTTATGCTGTTCAACAACTCAGTCAGTTCATGCAGGTTCCTCATCATTCACATCTAAAACAACTCAGTCAGTTCATGCAGGTTCCTCATCATTCACAATCTAAAAGCTGCTCTTACTGTTGTCAACTCTTACTGTTGTCAAATATTTGAAAGGTACCAGTTTCACGGGATTATTTTTGCCGGCTAAAAATGACTTAAAGTTAAGAGCCTTCTCTGATGCAGATTGGGCGTCGTGTAGTGATTCTCGATGGTCCACTACTGGGTTTTGTATTTTTATGGGCACTTCATTAATTTCATGGAAGACAAAGAAGCAATCCACGGTTAGTCGGTCCTCGGCAGAGTCCGAATATCGAGCAATGGCATCTACTATATGCGAAATTCAGTGGTTAACTTCTCTTTTAACTGATTTTCACATCCACATTGCTCGACCAATTCCACTTCATTGTGATAATAAGGCAGCCATTCATATTGCGGCCAATCCCGTTTTTCACGAGCGTACTAAGCATATTGACATTTTTCACGAGCGCACCAAGCACATTGATGTTGATTGTCACGTCGTTCGTACTCAATTACAAGCAGGTCTCATCAGCACTCCACATTTACCATCTTCATTGCAGCTTGCCGACATGCTCACCAAGTCCTTGCCCGCACATTCCTATCGTACATTTGTTTCCAAGCTTGGGTTGGTTGATTTTTCCCCAACACCAGCTTGAGGGGGGGGTGTAAAGATATGTATCTTGTTATATATGTAAACTAATCCCACTAGAATAGGAAAATGTGTATCTTGTAACAGATCGTAACAACTCCCTTTAGAATAGGTTAGTTATAACTTCTTTTGTGTATATATGTAACCTATTTTACTGCGAATCAAATAACAAGAAGGAGTCTATCATTCTGCTCCTAATTCAAAAATGTATACTTTCTACCGGTTTCTTTAATTCTCTTCACCCTCGTTGCCCCCATTGTAGATCTACCCCTATTTGGTTCGATTGGGTTGATTTTACCATGTTAGAAATATTTTCTTTCAAGAAGGGTAAATATTCGGTCGGTGCAACTCAGATCAAGTGGAATTAATAAAATATGAGAAAAGTTTAACCAAATTAATTTAGTTTAGCTTTTCAACCTTGACAATTTTTGGATTCAATCAATTTGTCTTTAAGTTTTTTTATCAAAAACTGATCTAATTAAAAAAGAAATTGATTTTTTTATCAATTAGAACTAAAATCAATATTGGTTTAGTTCAATTTAATCTATTTTATTATATTCTGCTCAACTATAATTTTTCATGATATGTTTTTGATTTGCTAAAATTATATGTAAACTTGTGTCAGTTAAATTTTTTCGGAATAACACCATGGAGTACATAACAGGTACACAACAGAGGTAGCCTTTCCCTTGACTCACCAAATTGGTAAAAACAATTATATTCGAGAGGACTCGAACTCGAGACCTCCCACTTCTCACATAAATGAGAGGACTAATCTGTCACTCAAAATTTACTATTGTAGTAGTGTACAAACAGCATTTTATGAAAATAATTATTGAATGGTAAATTTTAATTAATGTATCCATATGAAAATGAATTTGGTAAAAAAATTAGACAATAATTGTTTGTTAACCATAATTTTCCGTATTAAGTTGCTATAATGCTTAATGACCAAGCGATGAAGAAAAGAAACCGGCATGTATATATGAAAAAGAACCGGCATTGTTATATTTATATATATATATATATATATATTAATATATATATATATATATATATATATATATATACTATATATATATAAGTTCTATTCCAATTGATGTTACACTTTGTCGTTTCCTATTAGGTTCATGGGCTAATCAAGTTTTATGTATTCTAACCTACTTATTCTGCGAACCGTTGGTTCGAACATGATCCAAAAATTGGCAAAGTTCAGGTAACTTGCAGAGATGGTTAACAGTCACAGCAACCTTCTGTTCCATTCTTCCATTTCCCATATTATAGCTTTTGAAGATATGTTATATATATAAGTCTATTCCAATTTGATTGTTACACTTTGTCGTTTCCTATTAGGGTCTGGGCTATCAAGTTTGTATGTATTCTAACCTACTTATCTGAACCGTGGTTCGAACATGCCAAAATTGGCAAAGTTCAGGTAACTTGGCAGAGAGTGGTTAACAGTCACAGCAACCTTCTGTCCATTCTTCCATTTCCATATTATAGCTTTGAAGATATGTTAACTTATAGCTTCAGATAATTGTAGAAGCAGAGGATTAAAGATAATAATAGGTATGGAATGTTTTCTCTTTTCTATTTGAATTGCACTAAAAGAGAAGATATTATAATTTTCCAGGTTTCAGAAACGCTTTAGTTTCCATTTCTCATTTCTTTGCGTCTTCTACTCCCTTATTTGAACCTTCTATAGATCTTTATATCTTTCCTGAAAAGCTAAAGGCTAAGGCTAACAAAGGTCTTTGGGATCAGATTTATGGGTCGTGGAAAAATACCAATTAAAAGAATAGAAAACCAGACGACGAGGCAAGTCACCTTCTCCAAGCGAAGAGCTGGTCTTCTGAAGAAGACTCATGAACTTTCAGTGCTTTGTGAGGCTCAAATTGGTCTCATCATCTTTTCTAGCACTGGAAAACTGTGCCAGTACTGCACTGAGCCTTTCAGGTTTATTCATTTTACCATTTCTCTACTTTTTTTTTTTTTTTGTTCTCCATTTTCTTTCTGAGATGGATCTGTTGTTTCTGATTTTTTCTTATTAGAACTTCAATTGACAAATATCTTGAGTGGATTCACTTTTCTTTTCTGCATGTTTCTGACAAGCTAGAGCTAGGGTTTCCAGTCTAGTTCCATTCTCTCCGTTTCTTGAACAGCTTCTTTTACAATGATTTTACCTTTTCTTTTTCTTTTTTTTTTTTCCTTTACTTTCTATTTCTGACTTTAGTTATGTCTGACATTATTCTATTTCATCATCCTTAAACATGTAATATATTGTAAATAAAATTGTGTGATATGATCTGATCATCATCACAATTTTGTCTTGAGTTCAACTGTAAGGCCATGTTTATGGACTGAAATTTTTGTAGTAAGAACTTTCAGTTCATTTATGAGCACTACAAAATTTTGTTTTCGTTCCAATAACTTAAATTTATATTCAAGTTTTCTATATTTTTAAGCATAATTCCTATTCTTGCTAAAAAAATTCTATTTTGTTATTCAAGAATTAAACTTTGGGTGGAATACTTTGATCTTAAATGTTTATTTTCATTCCCATTCCAATTTTTAATGTAATCCAAACAGTTCCTGGAAGTGATAACTTTATCTAAATGTGTGTTTGTGTATATATGTATCGAAATATATGAAAATTATATTAATAATCTGTTTCTTTAATTCAATAAAATATTGTTAGTTAGTAATAGAAAGTGAGAGACACAATTACATGCAACAAATTTCTTTTACTTGTTCCTCCACCTGAGCAATGATATAGTTAAGAGTAATTTGACCTAGACTTGAACTTCACCTATGAATGATCTGAGCTGACTACAACTGTAAAAACAAAAAAAAAAGTGTGCAATGCATGATTATTTCCAATTACAAATACTTAATCTCTCATATAATTATTAATTAAAGATTTCCATTTGAGATCTCGTTCTTGTTTTTGTTATACAAATGTTGTAGGATGAAGCAAATTATAGAAAGATATCAGAAGCTTAGGGGGAACAGTATTCCTGAGCATGATAGTTTAAGGGTAATTAATTGAAATACTTTAATTACATGTATGTATGAAAATTAATCCATGTTTTGCAATTTAATCCTTTTTCCATTTATTAATTTTGCAGGAACATCTATATGGGGAGTTGGCAATGCTAAGGAAAGAAACTTGCCGTCTTCAATTAAATCTGCAGCTTTACAGAGGTGAAGACATGAGTTCCATTTCTTTTGAGGATTTAGGTGAACTCGAACAAAAACTAGAATCCTCTGTTGCCAAGATCCGCAACCGGAAGGTAATTTTTCTTTCTTCTTTCTTTTCTTTTTTTCATTTGAAAATTTTCTTATTTAGTTGTTATCGCTGGATGTAGCGATAAGAACTCTGTGCTTTATATTATCAACAAGAAAAATTGCAAGAATGAGGAAGAAGAGTGATACTACTAAAACTTAAACTCTCTAAAATTGTAAATTTAAACTGATTTAAATACTCATAATAATAATTGAACACGTTAATTATTATTATTTATTATTATTAGTGGACCCGGATGAAAAGACTAGTCATGGCTTACCATACCCATCCATTAATTCCAACAACGTATACATTGTTATGAAGAAACTTTCTTGGAACATACAGATAGACCCCAAGTTTTTCTTTTTCTGAGTTAATTCTTTTTGGTTCTTTGACTTTGTTGTGCATACAGAATGAACTCTTGCAACAGCAACTGGATAATCTGCGGAAGAAGGTGAAAGCTGTTTCTTTCTTCTAAAGCACATGAGAATTTCCTAGTTGAACGCATGTATAACCTAATTCTTCCTTTTTCTTTATATGTCAGGAGCGAATGTTGGAGGAGGAAAATGGCAATATTTACCGTTGGGTATTCGATTCAGACCAAATATTTTCTTATCTTGTTATTTTATTTTATAGGAAACGTTCTTGTTGTATAATGTCTGTAGCTTATTTAAGTTGATATATATGGATTTATTAAGTACTACTAAATGTAATAATGTAAATTTAACATGATTATCTGAAAATTAATGCATACATATGATCGATTTAATTAAATCAGATCCAGGATCAACGTGTCGCAATGGAGTATCACCAGGTAACAATAGAAGCAAAACCAGCGGAGCATCAACAAGTTCTTGAACAATTCCCATTCTGTGGAGAACCAAGTAGTCTCCTTCAGCTTGCAATCATTCCTTCTCAAATTCAGTCGTACCATCTCCAGCTTGCTCAGCCCAACCTTCAAGGTTCTGGCATCTAGCACTTCAAGTAAGCTATATTAACAAAAATATGCATCATCTTTCTTCCCCGCTATCTCGTAATCTTTTTTTGTTTTTTTTTTTTTAGGCTTTTGCAGAACTGTAATGTTTTGAGAGAAGCGCTTCTTGGGTACAAGTATTGTGCAATTAACAGCAGACAGAATGCAAGCATTGCTTTTGAGACAGACTGTTCATATATTTGGTTTCTCACTGCATTAATGTTCTTCAAATTATGGCTTGGAGTGATAATTAAACAATAGTGGTGTGTCATCTTTGAGCCGAAAATAATCTAGCATAATTTGAACATTTGAAACTTTTCTTTGTATGTATATCCTGGTATTCTATAGAGTTATGTGTTTGTGTTCTATGGAAGCAAAGAAACAAAGGTAAAAACTGTTTCAACACATCTGAAGTAATTCGACGGTACCAATAATGAAAGTAAGAAAGTTAAAGGTAAAAAACTATAATAATTTCCCTTCATTATCATAAAAATAATATTCTTGATTTTCATAATCAACAATGTGTTTCATTTGGCTCACTATAAATCCTAGCATCATATATATTTGCTCTGAGCTAGGATGGGATTTATCATGCGCAACAAATCTATGAAGAGCTCCATGCATCTCTACAAAACTATAACCAGGGGATTTTTTCACCCCCATCCTCTCCATGGCCTCTCTCATGCTTCTGGCTTTATCCCAGCGTCTAAAAATAGCATAAACATTTGATAATCCAACATATCTACCATCTTGGTGTGGCTCTAGCTCAATAAGCTTCCTTCCTACAGTTTCAGCGAGGTCCAACTTTCCGTGATTCATACATCCATTGAGAAGAGCACCTAACATTGAAGCTGTTGGCTGAATTGGAATTTGACATAGAAATTGATAAGCCTCTGCTACTTGACCGGCACGAGCCATGACATCAACCATACAAGCATAATGCTCACTTTTGGGAGTCATGCCATTTTTACCAAGACAATCAAAGAAATACCAAGCTTCCTTTACCAATCCACCATGAGCACAAGCACTCAACAAATTCAAGTATGTGATCTCATCTGGCTTAACGCCAACTATATGCATTTCTGAAAACAAATCTAGAGATTCTTTTACCAAACCATGACATGCGAATCCTCCAATCATAGAGTTCCAAATGAAAACATCACTTGGCTTCATGAGACCGCTACGAAACACATGTAAAGCCTCCTGTATTGCCCCGCATTTTGCATACATGTCAACAAGGGAGGTACGTAAAACCAGAGTTAATGGCAACTCATTATCAATCACATAATGATGCATCATTCTTCCTTTATCAAGAGCACCTAAATGTGCACAAGCACACAATACACTGACCATAGTCACCTCATTCGGTTTAGGACCAGAAACTCGCATTTCCTCAAAAACAGCTAAAGCTTCATCGTAGTCCCCTTTCCTGACATACCCATCAATCAAACAACTCCATGATAAGACGTCTTGTTCAGGCATTAAATCAAACACTTGGCGTGCCATGCTTATATCCCCACACTTTGCATAGCCATCTAGCATGGAATTCCATGAAACCAAATTCTTCACCGGTATTCCATCAAATACTTTTCGTGCATTTGGAATATCTCTAAAGGAAGAATACATGTGAATCAAAGAATTAGAAACAAACCTATCGGACTCATAACCAGCTTTTGTAATATAGCCATGAATGGCCAAACCAAGTTCTCGCTTCAAGAGGCAAGCCGACGCCTTGGCAAGAAAAGGGAACGTTAAATGGTCTGGAAAGACACCAACCCTTAACATTTTAACAAAAAGTGATATTGATTCATTTGGTTTCTTGCTCTTTGAGTAACCTCTTATGACTGTATTCCAATTGAAAATTTTTGGCTTTGAGAGAGAGAATAGAACCCAGCAGGAGTAGTCGATGCATCCGGAATCAGATAGTGCAGAGAAAGAAAGAAGTCTTGACACAAAGGCCTCATCTTGGGAGAGGCCTAAAGTTATCAACAAAACATGAATTTGCTTCAGCTGAAACATTGACTTGCATTTATCAAGGATGGTGATTAGGGAGGATATAGGACTGGCATTTCTACCAACTAGTGATGCATTCAACATTTACAGGTTTTGAGCAGCTGAAGGGAACAGTGATGGAGGTGGCGAGCAGTGACAAGTAACAACCATTTTCTTGCAGCAGTAAAGATTGCGCATTCGACTCGCCACACCAGGGGAGTCATTATATACGGCGAAAAACTTATCTAGACAATGTCCTGTATAGACTAAACTAATAAAATTCAGTATTTTTATTGAAACGAAAGTATTTTTTACCGTACACTTAAAATCGATAAAGTCGAAACACTTTTTAAAAATCTTGAATTTCATTTGCTTAGTCCATAGACGAGGGTATGGACCAGATTTAGGCAAGTTTTTTTCTTTTATATAATTATCTACGGGCCCCAAGCCACGTGGACTTGTATATAGTGAGTGTAGAATACAAGGCAAGGGGTTGTGATATCATGGAAGTTCAAGGGCAAAGATGTCCTTGTATATTGAAAATGAGGTTTTTGAAGTAGAGTTGGTTGGTGCAAAGCTTCCAACGAAAGCTACCAATAAATGGCTTGGGGAATAGAAGAGAAGAAACTTTAGGTTGAAAAGTTGAGTTTAAAAATTTTTCAAAAATCATAGAGTAGAGAGTGGAAAATTTTGGTGTTGCTCTAAGGCATTGGCTGAGCGAAGAAAGTGGAGGTTGAGAAGCAGGTCGGCATTCTCACCAAGAGCTTCAGGTAAGCATAAAATGGAAACACACTTGCGTTCATATGTTTGCTGATTCAGAATGCACTCGTATTCATATCTTAGTGATGAATATTAGGCTTAAATTTGAGCATAACTTTGTATTAGGCACTGTATTTTCTATAATTGTCCAGCAAAGCCTTTATGAATTTAAGCTCTACTTCTTATTGATAAATGCTAGTCATTTTATATGTTTGTTGTTATTGTTACATGGTAGAGTATATGTTTGATGTTATTGTTACTTTGTAGAGTATATGGATGCTGCATATCAGTCTTGAAATGAAAGCTAACATATTGCTTAACATGATTTGGATTAGCGATGTCAATTAACATGATTCATCTTAGCATCAAGTACTATAGACAAATTTTTTTTTTTTTTTTTTTTTTTTATTGTTACTTTGTTTAGAGTATATGGATGCTGCATTATCAGTCTTTGAAATGAAAAGCTAACATATTGCTTAACATGATTTGGGATTAGCGATGTCAATTAACATTGATTCATTCTTAGCATTCAAGTACTATAGAACAAATTTTTTTTTTTTTTTTTTTTTTTTGCAAAAATTTTTTTTTTTTTTTTTTTTTTTGCAAAAGGAAAATTTTATTTATATCTCAAATAAGGAGAGCCAGTACAATAAAAAATAATGAGACCTCTAATAGTTCGTGGCAAAGATTCAAAAGAGAAAAAACCTAACGAGTTCTGAGTAATTCTGCTCTGAATTGCAATAGAGTGAGCTACTTGATTGCCCTCCCTATATATATGTGTGATGAAAGAATTTGAGGATAAAAGGAAAGACCGAATAGATTGAATCTTAAGGTCAGACAAAATATTATGAGTTTGTTGTAACTTTTGAATCAGTTGCAAGGAATCCACTTCTATTTGGAAAGAGGTCGGAATTCTTTGAGTACACCATTTGATACTTTCCTGAAGAGCGTGGAGCTCTGCCTGAAATGGAGATACTGCTGAGAAGAGAAAGGAGTGGCCGGCCACAAAATTCCCATTTGAATTCCGAATGACAACGCCTCCAGAAGAAGAAGAATCGGAATAGGAAGCATCCACGTTAATTTTATAAACTGTTGCAGTCGGCTTTCTCCAGTAAACCAAAGAGAGTTTACGATGATTCCTCTGACCAAAACTAGTAGGTAGCAGATTGGTTAGAGCATTGGCAGGTTTTCTAGTGAAGTTGCGAGGCGAACAAGCAACTCCCCAATTAAAAATAAACTTACTAATCTGCTGCTGAAGTAAGTGAATTCCTGCATCACCTTCACCCTAGCTGAAATTACAATATAATTTTCATACATGCCACATAATTACTAGAGGAACTAGCCGACGAAGGATGCTTACAGTACTTTGTGGCCGAGAAACTAAATGCCATGTTATCAACTCTTGACGCAGTGTGTGACAAGTAGAATTGCCGCCGGAAAGCAAATATTGTCTAAAGAAATTCCATACCCATAGAACCTTTGGACAATGAAGAAACAGATGATCAATGGTGACTAATGAGCAGGAACATAGAGGACAGCAATAAGGCCCATTAATCCCTAACACATTCAAACTATGAGGAAGAGGAAGAGCATTTCGGAGCAACCTCCAAGTAAAGGCCGAGAGTTTTTTAGGGATAGAAGAGTCCCACATCATGCTAAATAACAATGTGTTGCTTTTATGTACTCGAACATGCTCATAAATAACAACGAAAGAAGGTGACACAACCTCTGCAGAATTATTTAATTCTGAAGCCACTTCATGAACACGACAAATGCGTTTCCATGAGCAGGAATCAGTCGCTTGAAAAGACATAAAACCTTTATGGTGATACCTCTGAAACATGTAAGCTGACCATATCGAATCGCGCTTCATATAAGAGAACCAAAGCTTGACTGGGTATGCTTGTTGAATGGAAGAAAGGGATCGCAGACCCAAACTGCCCTCAGCAGTAGGAAAACAAGTTTTCTGGAATTTAACCCAATGATGCTTATTTTTTGCATCTGTTTTACCCCATAAAAAATCTGCCATTTGAGTCTCCAAAATACCAATAACACGAGCTGGAAGCTTCATAGTACCCATAATATGTATGGGAATTGAACTCAAAACATGCTTAATTAAGACCAGTCTACCACCCATCGACAAAATTGTCTTTGAACTCAAAACATGCTTAATTAAGACCAGTCTACCACCCATCGACAAAATTGTCTTAGACCATCCCATAAGCTTAGCAGAGATCTTTTTAATCAACTCACTGCAATATGAGGTACGATTAATACCTTGGTAAATCGGGGCACCGAGATATGTGAAGGGGAGGCATTTCTTTTTAATTGAAAGAGCTGCTTCAATTCTTGAGACGGTCAGGGACCCCAGTTTTTTTGAACAATAGAAAGAGCATTTTTCAAAGTTAATCATCTGGCCCGAAACATCTTGATAGTAAAGGAGAAACTTTTTAAAATTGGCGGTACTACGCTTATCCCCCCTAATGAAGATCAATAGATCATCTGCAAAGCTTAAATGAGTAACAGGGGAACAATTGCGAGCAAGCTTATAAGTAAAGGTTGAATTTTTTCCAGAAGAGGACAAATGTTTCAAACCGCGAGAAGAAACATTCAGGAAACCAAAATAATAAGTAAGGAGAAGGATGGATCCCCTGCTTGGACCCCCTCCAGAAGGTGCGAAGAAACCATAATTGACACCATTTAAAACACAAACTGACAGTCTGGCGTGGTGGCCGAAAGGTTTGCTATGATCAATCGAACAATAGGTTGAGAGAAGCCAAAGCAAAACAGGACTGCCTCTAAGAAAGACCATGAGACACGATCAAAGGCTTTAGCCATATCAAGCTTAATGGCAATATTGTTTCCTCTAGCTTTCCTGCCAATTTCATGAATCATCTCATTAGCCAAAAGGATCTTGGAGTGAATTGACCTACCTTTCATGAAACCAGCTTGTTCCGGAGAAATTAAGAAATCCAAAAGTGGAGCAATCCTGTTTGCCAAAATTCTAGTACACACTTTACTAATAAAGTTAGTAAGACAAATAGGACGAAATTGGTCGAAAACTGATGGATTCTCAACTTTAAGAATGAGAATAATCTGAGCGCAACTGAAAGATTGAGGTATTAGAAGGCCCAGAAAAAATTCCTTAACAGCGCTACAAACGTCCCACTGAATAATAGACCAACAGTCTCTATAGAATCTCCCGTCGAAACCATCTGGACCAGGAGCACTAGAAGGATCAAGTTGCCAAACCGCGTTTTTAATTTCAGAATCAGTAGGAATAGCTCCCAAAGCCAAATTATCTTCCGTTGTAATTAATGAGGGAAGATATTCAAGAATTTGGCTACAGTCTTGCGCCTCCTCACCTATGTCTTCCTGCAACGAAAGCCAAACACCATCAGAGTTTTTAATTGAGGAGATACGTTGAAATTTCCTTGATAGCTTGACATAATTATGAAAGAATTTAGTATTCGAGTCCCCATCTTTTAGCCATTTTACATGAGATTTTTGTTTCCAGTATATTTCCTCAAGCCGAAGTTTACAGAGTAGGTGAGCTTGTTTTTCCTGCCATGTCTTCCTATTATTCGGACAAGGATCTGCAACATATTCTCTTTCAGCTGTCTCAGCCGCTACTTCAGCATCCTTGATAGCAGAAAAAATGTCACGTCTTATTCCATTGCCTAATCGCACCTTTGAGAGCCTTGAGTTTAAGATGAAAACCCTTCATCCCCCCTCCAGAAAAAGAGGAGTTCCACTACTCCCGAATCATGGGAAGAAAAGAAGGATTACTGAGCCACATATGCTGAAATTTGAAAGGTTTAGGAGCGTTGAACAAGCTCTTATTACAATTCAACAAACGAGGGGAATGATCCGAAGAGGTTTTACCAAGATGCTTGATCTGAATCTCATCAAAGAAATCAAGGAAAAATTGATTTGCCATAAAGCGATCAAGACGCTTCCACACGCGTCCAG